TCTCGTGCTTGCGCAGGTTGGCGGCCGTCAGGAGCTGCTCCTGCTTGCTCGACTGCGGAACGTCCCAGTCATCGTACTCATAACTCGGCTGGCGATCGGGAGGCGGGCTATACTGTGGCTCGGGCTCCTTCTCCGTCCAGTTCCCGATGATGTCCACGGCTGCGCCGTCGTCGACCTGCATGCCCGACGGTGCACCGCCAGCGCTGAAGACCCTGTTGCCCACCACCAGCTCTGTGCCGAGGGTCTCCACCAAAGTCTGCTGCTGTCCTTCTGGAAAGTGTAAGGTACCCCTCATCTCCTCTCTCCTCTTCCGTCATACCCCCTCCCTCCCCCGATTCATCACCTCCATACTTCCTCCGCCACCGACCCTTTGTCCCCCACCCCCGCCAATCCTGTGCCGCGACCGCCCTCGCGTAGGCCGACCTCGCTCAGCGGGACGTCGTCGTCGCTGATCTCGACGGCCGCCTGCGCGAGGACGGCGGGGGGGGGCATCGCTCGCTTCCCGAACACAGCGTCCCTACATCCAGGCCATTCCCCGCTCGGTTGTTGGACGCACCGCGTGCCCGTCGGCGGTGGGGTGGCGGTGGGGAGGGGGATGACCACCGCCTCCTTTGCACCCGCCTCCGTCATTGCTGATGGCCATACTGTATCCCATGTCCCTCCAACTTCCCCCTCTTCCTCGCTCCTCTGTTACCTTCCTTCCCGTCCTGCCTCCTCCCTCTCCTCGACCTCTTCCGTCCCATCATCCTGCCCATCCTCCGTCCTTCTCATCCTCCTCATCATCCCCTCATCGACCTCGATCATCCTCCTCCTCGAGGTCTCATCCTGCCCGCCCTTCTCATTCTCAGCCCGATCCCTCTCCCCGTCCTCCTCCTCCTACTCATCCTCACCCCCTCCTCCTCGACCCCCCCTCTCGTCCTCCTCCCATCGTCCCCCTTCCCTTCTCGCAGTTCACAGTCGTTTGCCCCGAGCCCCCCACGTCCCCGTGTCCGCCTCATCCATTCCCCCCAGCGTCGTTGGCAATGCCCCATTCGCCTGCAGCGCGTGCTCTGCTGGCGGGCGATCCGCCTCTGCAGGGGCAGCCGCGCCTGCTGCCTTGAGGAAGCCGAAACGAAATCGGACTCGAGGGCTCTCGGGCAGTGCGTCTCAGCGCGAGGAGAGCGAGGATCGAAGAGAGGGGTAAGATGGTGAGGATAGAGGGAGCGGGGAGTGGGCTGAGGATGACGAGGGTGGGAGGATGGGGAGGTGGGACACGGTTCACCAGTTGCCAACCAGGGTTCGGTGTCCGAGGTCATCGATTCCAATCAGTGGTTTCGTTTGAAGGGGTCGGCTTGCCTCGACGCAATCGAAATCTTCGAGGTCGCTCCATCCGTTTAGGTCGTAGGCCGACCCGAGCGGATGTCGACCGCACGAACGTGTCAGTTGGCCAAGTGATGCACGAACTGTCAAGCTGGTTCTCGACACGAGACACAGGCGAGTACACGCAGTCATCAACCTTGAGCGATCGATGTGTATTCGAGTTGGGCGATGCCCCCCTCTCCCCTGCCACCCCCCAGATGGAGGATGACCAGAGGGATAGCGGGGAGGGGGATCGGGGATTTGCCACAGTTGCAGCAACCTCCTCGGCGCCAGCTGCTGATGCCGATGCGCCTGTTGCTGTCGCTGCGGCTGCTGCCTGACTCGCGCGCCAGCGCTGCTCGGCCAGTTCGCGGATCCCTTGCATCTGCTGTTGTTGCTGTTGCTGCTGCTGCTGCTGCTGCTGCTGCTGCTGCTGCTGCTGCTGGGACTGCTGCTGCGGCACCGATGCGTCGAGTTCCTCTCCCGTGGCCGCGATTGTGCTCGGTGTGCCGCGAGAGCTGGGGGGGGAGCGAGACCTGCTGTCCATCGGCACGCGTCTGATCCAAGTTCTGATATCGTGATAGGTCATACACTGTGTAAGTGTGCAGCGCCAGTGGCACTTGGCTGATCAATTGCGAATGCGACTGCAACGGTAGTCACGAGCGGTGGATAGGCAAAGAGCGGGATGTGTCCAAGCGCCCTCCAGGGGGCTGAGCGGGTACGGGGGCGAGGGGAGGGGGAGTTGGGATTGAATGGGATGAGATTGGGGGTAAACAGTGATAGCGACGAGCATGGGGGTGTGGCGCGGAAAGGTGTTATGGGGGAAGGAGGTTGGGAGCTAAGGGGAGGGCAAGCAAGATGCAAGAGCAGGAGGTGGGCAGGGTGGCGATTGTAATACCGACCCGCAGGAGTGAGAGACAGGGGGTGACATTTCGAGTGTGCGAGGGGGGTAGCGTGAGGGGGGCGCAGGGCGAACGGCCGAAGGTAATATGAGGAGGACCTCGACGAGGTCGTCGAGGGTGGAGGATGGCGATCGGCGATCGGCGACTACGGAGTCGAGAAAGGTGCGACGACGGAGGGGGAGTGATCACTCTCGAAAGGGGTGATGTGGGCGATGTCACGCATGTGCGCGGCCGTTCGCAGAGGCGCGCAACTGTGCGCCGCCAGCGGCGAAATGACGCAACACCGCGCTGTCTGCGCAGAATTGCTGATGCCGCCGCCTATGCACTTAGAAGAACCCGCTGCCGATCTCGTCGACGAAGCTCTCGGCAGGGCTGGGGCTGTTGAGGGGGCCAGCTGCCTCGCTGCGCTGGGGAGCGGCCGTCGGCGCTGCGGCCGAAGGCGCTGCATCTTCTGCTGGCGTGGCTGCTGCACCTGCTGCTGCCTCCTTGCGCGCCGTAGCTGGCGGCGCTGTGCTGCGCTGCTGGTCTGCTGCTGCGCGGTGCGTGGTCGCTGCTGGCGAAGACTGCGCTGCAGCTGCTGGCGGTGCTGCGTCTGCTGGCTCCTGGCTGCCGCCTGCTGCTGAATCCTCGACGGCGCTAGGGAGCATCGCAGCTGGCCTGCGGAAGACACCCGTCGGTCGCTTCAGCACCTGCGTCGGCTCATCAGCAGTGTCCGATGTGCAATCATCGTGTTCTGAAGCTGCCTCCTCCTCCTCCTCCTCCTCGCCCTCGAGATCGTCGTCATCCTTGGTGATCTCCTTGCGCGGCGCCTTCGGCGTGGGCTCAACCGCGGCCGCAGCTGCGGCATGACACGCTGCAGGGCGCTTGATCGCTGCTGCAGGCTTCTTCTTCGTGCCTCCGTGGCTGTCGATCCAGGACTTCTTGGCGGTGTCCACCTCGTCCTTGGACTTCGTGCCAGCAGCGAAGGCTTTGCCGAGCTCCACCATCATCGTCTGCACCTCCTCGCGGTCGTAGTGGTCCTGCAACGTGATCTGGCTGACCATGGTCTTCCCTGCTGCATTCTTGGCGCCGTACTCCCAGATCGCCACGAAGGCCGTCGTCGCCTTCCGGGTGTATCGCTCAACCAAGATCCGATGCCCGTCCTTCTCGCCCTGCCACAACCACCCGATGCCCCGCTTGTTCACGGTGCTGGTCGAGTCGTAGAGCATGCCGTTGGTCAGCGACGGGATCGTGTACTCGTCGCCGTCGTCCCACTTCGCCACCACGGCTGCGTCGTCTCCCAGCGCCGCGTCGTACCTGACCGTCTGCGAGTACTCTGGCTTGGCCGACGCTGCGCCGAGGTTCTTGCGATATGCTGCCTGTCAGCATGGCGCACAAGCAACATCGATCGCGAAAACGATGGACGAGCGACTAGGGTTCGGAGTCGAGTGCGACTCCATTAACTACACCACAACACACACGGCACATAAAACACACATAAAATACACATAAAATACACATAAATTACTCATAAGTTACACGTGCACTAGATGGAGTGCGACATTGGCGAATATCATTGCGTCGATAGGATGCGAGGACGATGACAACGGGAGTGGGGGGGGAAGAGGAATATGGAGGGGATGAGGATGATGATGAGGAGGAGGAGGATGAGGAGGAGGAGGAGGAGGAGGAGGAGGATGAGGATGAGGAGGAGGAGAAGGAGGATGAGGAGGAGGATCGAGGAGGAGGAGGACGGCAACGACAGGAAGGATGCCGACGACGCGACGATGACGGCGGCGACGGGTTGGTAGGATCCGTGCCTGCATGTGTTTGTGGTAGCCGTACGTCCACTCGTTGGCCGCCAAGCCCTCCTCGGGTGGCGGGCGAGGGGCATTGTTAACAAGTTTATCCTCCACCTCATCTTTCCTCTCATCCCTCCTCCTCCTCCTCCTCCTCCTCCTCCCTCCTCCTCCTCCTCCTCCTCCTCCTCGAGGGTCCTCGATCATCGTCCTCCTCGTCGTCGGCATCGTCGTCGTCGTCGGCCTCCTCCTCCTCCTCCGTTCTCCCCCGCCGCTTCCCTCTTCCTCCCTCATCCCTCATCCCTCCCCCCTCCTCCACCTCCACTTCTTCCATCTTCCCTCCTCCCTCCTCCTCCTCCGCGGGGCACTCCTTGTCGATCAGCGGCGCGAGCCAGCCGGGCTTGTTCCCGCGCGTCCTCGGAGCGGGGAGGGGGCGGCGTCGAGGATGGACGCAGGCAGCGGAAGAGGATCGGACGGAGGACGGATGAGCAGCACGAGTAGGCGGGAGGATGATGATGAGGAGGAGGGTGCGGGGGGATGAGGAGGAGGGATGAGGAGGAGCAACGAGGGATGAGGAGGAGGCGGAGGAGGAGAAGGACAGGGAGTGGGATGGGGGAGGAGGCTCGAGTAGGAGGATGAGGATCGAGGAGGCGAGGAGGAGGAGGAGGAGGAGGAGGAGGAGGATCGAGGCGAGGAGGAGGAGGAGGAGGAGAAGGAGGAGGAGGCCCCAACGGTCCTGAACCTGAGCACCGCCTGATCCGCGTGCCGAAGCATGGCTCGGATCTGCTTGGCGACCAGCGAGCACCACGCATCCATCTCGCCCGACAGCCGCCACGAGTCCTCGTGGAACTCCGCCAGGGTCTGGAGCTGCTGCTTCAGCGGTGCCGACGGGGGTGGATGGAGAGGATCGGAGGTTGATCGAGGAAAGGAGCGGGCGAGGATGTTAACAAGGATCTAACGAGGACGGAGTAACACCCATGGCCTGGCTGAGATTGGTCGCAGGCTTGATCGCCGCGCGCAGCGCGATGATGAACTCCATGTGCCCGGCCAGCGCGTCGGGGTCGACGGGGTCGTCCAGCCTGTCCGTGTAGCCGAGGTCCGCGCCGTCCTTGATGAAGTCGGTGAGCGCATCCAGCACGCCGCTGGCGTGGCCGTCGCCGCGTGGGCGAGCCCCCCCCATAATGGTCGGGGCGGGGGGGGGGGCTGAGAGGGACAGAGCCTAAATGGCTATAGACGAGGGGGGGATATCCGAAGGGGAACGATCGTGTTGTCCGTCCCCCTGTGCGCCCTCTCCTCCTATCCAATCCTGCCGTTCTAATCGCTCGCCATTCGCCGAATGGGCAGGGGCAGGACACTACAACGTCGGCGAGTACATGATTGCTTTGCTTGCGTGCTTGCTGTGCTTGCTTGCTTGATTGCTTGCACACTTATTTTCAAAGCAGAGCAGGAAGAGGAGGGAGGATGGAGGGAGGAGGAGGGATGATGATGAGGAGGAGGAGGGAGGAACGATCTCTCAAGCGCTCTCTGTCCAGGGCTTACGGGTTCTAGTACTATAGGGGTGGGGGGGGGCAAATTCCTAGAGTTTCTTGGCGCTCCCGCGCGCTCCTGGGCTCGGTCGCATGGATCATCCAGATATTGTTGACACCCCTCACAAGGATCGTGGCCACCGAGAGGATCCCGAACGCGAGTGCTTCCCTTCCTGGCCCAAGACAGCCCCGACAGGCTCTAAAGAAACCGCAGTGGAGTCAAACACATGCCCCAAAGACGGCCCAAAATGTCCCAAAGAGGTTCCCAAGAGGCTCCAAAGTTGCCATACTAGGCACTGCAGCTGCCCCCACGAGGTCCCGAGAGGCGGCACCACTGTTCCTCATAGGCACCAAAGAGGTTAACCACGATATCCTAACCAACATCAATGATGCATCTAACCCACGACCCAAGCACGGAGGCAGGCTGGGTCGAATGTAATTATATATGTCTTATACTACTAAAAATAAGAATCCTGGCTACATAGCATGTCGGTTCTTATTTTAAGAAGCTTGGAACCTCTGGGGAGAAGGAGGAGGAGGAGGAGGAGGAGGAGGAGGAGGAGGGGAGACGGGGGGATGGGAAGCGAGGGCGCAGGGGGGGATGGCCCCGAGGGGGGAATGGGGGCCGCCCCGCCCGGCCACGCGCCACGGAGAGGCGCGGGTCTCAAGGGCCCTCCAGGGAAGGTCCCAGGCACCACCCGCCCCCGGCCACGCCGTCCCACGGACGGGGGTCTCAGGGGGGCGCGCTGCCACCCCGCCCGGCCACGCGCCGAGGAATGGCGCGGGTCTCAGGGGCCCTCCGGGGGAGAGACCTCCCCGAGCCCCCAGCCTCACCGTCCCACGGACGGGGGTCACAGTGGGGCGCCTGACCAGGGTAAGCTGGGGAAGGAGGGCCCGGCCGAGAGCGGGAGGAGGGGGAGGGGCACGGGGCGGGAAGGCAAGAGGAGAGGGCGGAAAAGGGGAAAGGGGAAAAGGGGAGGGAGGAGGAGGAGAAGGAGGAGAGCAAGGAGGAGGACGGGGAGGGGCGGGGGAGGCGGACGGGGCAGGGGTTCCCCCAAAGGCGACGACGGACGGCGGACGACGACGGCGACGACGACGACGACGACGGTGGCAGCGGCAAGGACCCCCGCTGGCCCCCCCGGGAGGCCGGAGAGGCGCAGGTTTTGTTGCTCTCTCGCTCGCAGCGGTCGCTGGCTCCCCCGCCAGGCCGCTGGCGGCGCACCCTCGGGCCGCCGGCGCCCGTCGTCGGCGCCTGCCGAGCCGCCGGGGGGGCTGTGGCTGGTGGCAGAGGGAGGACACAGCGGTTCTCACACACCGACCGCACTCCGCCTTGTCCTCCCCCAGCTGCGCAGGTCGGCCCCCCAGGGGGGGCCTCGCCGCGGGCGACGACCACGACGG